CTATTTTATTCTCCAGATCACAACACTTCTGTTATTTGGATCCTCCCTTCTTAGCATTGCCCCCCTCAGCAGTTTGGCTGCTTCAGAGGGAGACATGTGATAGTGATGCCATCGCAATTGCCCTGCCTGGCACCTATTGGTATTTGACTCAGTTCTGGGACAGATTTAGCCTCCCAGTTGATGATGGAGGCTCCTTGTATAGAATGAGCTGGGTGACTGGGCCTTTTTCTGACATTTATGTGGTGTGTGGACAGGTAAAACTCTACATCCAATAGAGCTCCATGGGAATGGGCTTTTATGTGATCTGGAATTCCAACTGCTCAAGGTTCCAAATCACATGAAAAGCAACGTACATAGAACATTACAAGTGTAGGCTTCTCTTTCCCAGAGATCTGTGTGCAAAAAGTGTTCATACTGGAAGGTGAGGTTGGGGAGCTACACAACAGCAGAAGTGAGGCCAATAGCCCAGCTGCCCCTTGAAACACAAAATCCGCTGCACATAGGTTAATGCATATCGAAAATATGACTTCATTATGTTATACCATGACCCTGTCTGCATATAACAACAATGCATGGATTATTTAACTCATGGGCTTTTGGGGTCAGATGGAAGCAAGTAAGCTGCTTCCTGCTTTCTTGCAGCTTCATTTTTGCCTCTGCACTTCAAAACAATTCAGGGATATTCTTGGGTTGGTTTTATGACATGCGATAATAATCCAGAACTCTGAATTATTTGGGGAGAAAGAACTCAACATTTTAAATATATGTATACATTGGAGAAGCACTGAGCAAGCCAGAGGAAAAGTGTATTTGTTCACTTCTGTGCAGCCCCAATAATTAATGGATTAAATAACCTATGAATGAACAAGATTTATGAAGAAGTTGCTAATTTCCCTCATTTCTCCACAATATTCTTTTTGTATCATTTCTTAGACAGTCAGGCCATTAATTTCAACTGTAAACCAACTTAATACATTGGTAGAAATGCAGTGTATCAATGTAATAAATCAGCCAATTTGAGTAGGGTTTGATGTTTTTAATACAAGGTTTTGGAAAGAATTCTGCTAACAGAAAAAAGTTAAGAAGCCATTCCAAGAAGGAAAACACAACACTCTCACTTGTGTGAGCGTATGTTATCTCTTATCAGCCACAGCATCTTCTGTACACATACAACAGCATCTGAGTCTTCTGAAGACAAAGTCTGGTCTTAGTTGCATGGTTGTGTAAAAAAGTATTGCTTTATTTGAGCATTTTAAAACTCTCAACTATGGGTATTGTCATCATTATTATTCACATAAGGCAGCGTCAATAACAGAGTTCATAGTATTCCATTCTGTTTGGAGACAACACTGCCCAATTACTTTTAACCTGATTTTCTAGCCATTCCAACATTTCAAGTCCCATTTACTCCAAGTCAGTACTTGGATAGCTGGACAGATTCATTTAGGCAGGGAAGAAACAGAAGAACAAAGACCACAGTTTTAGAACAGTCACTTAAAGGGCTTAATTTATTCAGGCCTAATCTAGTTCCCAGGTGTAAATCAGTTAACAGGACTATCACCCAATTAAAGAAATCTCCATTGATTAATTATATGACAGTCAGTCAATTAATTCCTGAACTGATTAAATCTACATTAATTTGCATATGAAGGAAAAACAATGGTCCTGAGGGAAAACATTCTTTGTTTTTAGAAGACATAGTAGCCATCCTTTATCCCTCAAAGAAAAGAGAAAGCCTCTTCTTAGATGATTCTTGCTATTTTAAGTTTTTCATTTTTTACTCTGTTTAATTGGAGATTAATTACTGACTATATTGATCAATGTAAAACACGATTGACCAATCTTACAAATGTGTCAACAGAACATTGGTGCCCTAGTTGTTAAACATTTCTATGCTGTAACATCTAAGCTTGAACTTCTTCAAACAACTGTACACTTTTCCTCTTCCTATCTTCAAGAGATTGCCTTCATCTTTGTTAAACTCATGCTTCCACAATTCTCCTGATAATAAAGGCCATGTCCCAACTTTGTAGAAACACAGCACCAAGTGATATAATAATTCATTACTTGATATTCCTTCACACACATAAACTTCATTGAACTCAGTGGGATTTTCCTTTAATTAAAGATTTACTTGATCAGGATGCATGGAATTTAAAAAAAATGACAATGTCTCACTGTACGAGTATCATTTAAGTAAGACAAAGCTTCAACCCAATGCACACTTACTTGGAAGTAAATCCTATTCAACTTAATGGAATTGATGCATTTTGCAATATGTGTAGGATGGCATTGAACCTTCACATGAATCTCCTCACAAGGCTGACTGGAAATTAATCATCTTTAGCTAAATTGAGATTAATATTAGTTATAAGAGGAAAGTAAAGTAGGATCCAGTGCAGATTTATTAGGTAACTATAGCTTAATTCCAGGTAATGTACACAGGAATGCATTATACCAAGAACATCTAAATACAATACTTAATTTCCATCCGTCAAGTAGCAAAGAAACTGTTGCAGGTTATTAGCGGCATCATCTTTATATAGCAAATAAATAACAAAAAGTACAAATGGCAGTTTAAACATGGTTTAAACAAAATATAAGGAAATGTTTGAAAACATGACATTTGTTCCTATAAACTGAGCACACACTCAATATTGCTTATATGAAGGATGTTTTCAAATTGTAAGAGGTGGGCTTTTAGGGGAGAGGGTAGTTCAATGCAATTGCTACTTACTTGTTACGCAGAGTTCTGTTGTTGGAATATTGCATTTTCCCAGTATTGGATGCTTCATATTCTTTATCTGGAGAAATGTAATACTTTCTGCAGATAAAGTATTTACTGTTACTATCATTGGCCTGCTGGAACACTGTTGTGTGAACACAAGACACCTTCTTTTTGCAACAGCTACACAATTTCTTCCTCTGTGTTTTACAATTGTATTTTATTATTTGGTGTGCTAAAGGCTAGCAGTTTTATTACTGCATAAGCTGGGATGGACAATGACTCTTAGTCTAGAAAAGCTTATGTTGTAATACATTTGGACAGTGCCATCCTATTCTATCTACTGACCAGTTAATCTCTTTGTGTTAGATAGGGCTTACTCCTAGGTGAATATAGGTATATTTGTAGTTTAAAGAAACATGTAACACATTGCAATATTACTCTTTAAAGTAGCAAAAGTGTGTGTCAGTACAATCAATCCTAAACTGAGTTCCACTAGGTTCAGTGGGATGTGTTCTAAGGTATGTCAATATTGGATTGCAGCCCAAATGGATTGCCATTGACTGACAAGGCTACCACTCTGGAAGCTATTTCATTTGGTTTGTAATTCTGTACCACTTATTGGGGTAATTCTATTCCACCCTAATAAACCCACTGAGACTTGCATCTGAGCAGTCCTGTATATAATTTCTGCTATTTATTTCTTTGATGGCTGTGGATTGCTTCCAAAGGAGGCTTTTATTGTGAAATCACAGTGCCTGATCCATGGAATTTTACAAGGAGTCTTTTCTTTCTTTATTTTATGTAGCTGCTTCTGTCTTTTTTTCTTATTAGAGGAACATCTACCAGCAGGGAAAGACAGAATACATGCCCAGTGCCTTTTTACTGGTAGCACTAACAACTGTCCGCCTGGAAACACCCTGTGGCTTCTTGGTGTTCCACAGCACTGGAATACTCATCGTACAATGAGGCTTGTTTGCTTTCTGATTCAGGTCCAGGTTATTTCCTCCGCCACGAACCTATGGGAAGGGGGGCAGGGGGGTGATACGTTTTCAGTTCTGCAGAGCTCCCAACCTTTCTGACTACAAAGGGCTGCTTCTGGAAGCACCTGACAAGGCATTTATGGTGAAATCCCTTGCCTTATTCACAGATTCTTTTATGGGAGGGCCAGATGCCAACATATTCCGTGTGCAACTTTCCCCTTTTCCCCTGTTCCCCAACAGTTTTTTTTTTTTTGTTTTAAACAAAAGGCACTTCCAGAGAACGCTCCTAGCACTACCAATCAAAGGCATTGTGCAGCTAATTCCATCTCTTCCTCTCGAAGGATTTTGGGGTGAGCAAAAAGATGAGGGGGGAAAACACGGGAGGGTTACAAATGGAAGATAATGACCTGTGGACCCCTCACAGAAGTCCAGGACAACTGTACAGAAAGTCATGTCTGGAAGCAATCAAAAAAAGTGGAAAACGGAATAGCCACGCAATACTAGGAGCCCTCTGCCAGGAAGTACCCAAAAGGTAATAAATGGGGGGGGTCCCCCCCAGACAATGCCTTTTTCTGCGATTGCCCTTGCTGAAATACAAAACATCATGGAAGAGCCAGAGGGGGCTCGATTTGCAGTCTTCTGTTTGCAGCTACTCGTGATTTCGCCCCATTTTTCCAACCGGGAAAAAATCCGTTAAGAAGGTAAGGATGGAGTTACTGCTCCTGGCTTTTTGGTTGGTAGGAACCGGCAGCCTGGGAGCGCTCGGAGCGCGGAGAAAAGCCCCTGGAGGCAGGGAAGTGATGCACGGCGCCCCCCAGGGACAATGAGCTGCGGGACTGGGAAGCGCCGCGTGCATGCACGGGGGCGCCTGGCCGCACAGCGCAGCGGAGGCTGCCTCGGGGCGGAGGAAGCTGCCCGGCCCGGAGCCAGAGGCTGGCCCGTCCCAGCCAGCAGCCCGAGCCGCTCCCCGGGCTCCCTGGCCCCCACCTGGAGAAGGTGGAGATCTCGCTGGGGGCCCAGCCGCGGCTCCTCCAGCGTCACTAACACTGGAGGGGAAAGGCTCAGACCGCAGGCGCGACTCCGTTCGCGGGGAGGTGGCGGGGCACGAAGCGGCGCTGGCCCGGAGAGCCCGGCTCGCTCGCGGGCGCCGACGAAGGGGTGGGCGGGAGGGGACAGCGCGGTGGCAGAGCCCTCCTCGGGCCGCTTGGCGGGAGCTGCCCCCGGGAAGGGGCTGCCCAGGGGCGGGCGCGCGGGAAGCGGGGCGCAGGCACGGGCACGGGGGTGCGGAGTACCTTTTCTGCGGTCACCACGTGCAGCCCCTCCCGCACTTTGGCGAAGGAGCCCTCGCCCAACTTCCTGCCGATCAGGTAGTTGCCGACGCGCTTGGTGTGCTGGAACTCGCGGAGGCGCTCCCGCGACGCGGACGCGTTGACCCAGGCGGCCAGGAAGGTCCCCTCCGGACTCAGCGGCGGCGAGGTGGACTCGCCGTCGCCGAAGCCCCCCACGGGGGGATCGCTCAGCAGCCCGTCGCCCGCGGCCGCCGGCATCCTGCTGCTGCTGCGGCTGCGAGGCTGCGCTCCGATGCCAAGCCCGGCGCACGGCGCCCTCCCGCTCTCTGCGCTGCCTCAGCTGCGGCTCCGCTGCCGCCGGGCCGGGGGCTCCCGCCGATGCCTTCGTGCGCGCGTCTCAGCCGCTCTCTCAGCGTCTGCGCCCTCTCCGAGCCTCCGCCGCCGCCAGCGCCGCGACTCCCCACCTCCCGCCGCCAGCACCAGCCTGCCAATGTGATCGGCACCCGCGAGTCCACGTGGGGACCCGGCGGCGGCGGTGGCGCTGCGCTGCGCTTGCCAAGGAAAGCGCGCCGCACAGAGCGCAGAGAGCCCGTTGCCCTGCGGGACCGAGCGCGACCGCCACAGGTCTGCAGCTAGCGAGGGCGAGCGGGCGGCGGGGCGGCGGGGCCGAGGCCGCGCATCACGTTGAAGAGCGCGCGGAGCCAGCTCCCGCAGATCAATTGTCTCCGGTCTGCGCGGAAGCCAGTTGGCTGCCTTCTCCTCATTGGATCTGTCGATCACTTTCCCCCTCCCTCTCGTACTAGCTGCCTCTTTCTCCCGGGTGCTGCTGCTGGAGGCTCCTTTCCCCCCTGCGGTGCGGGAGGGGGCAGGAAGGGAGGGAGGGAAGCGGGGAGGGAGAAAAGCTTCATTCAGCCTGAATTTGTACTAATATAATCCGATCGCTCTGCTGGGAACAGATGTAATAAAGCAACAACAACTCGGCAGCAGCCGCGATCTTTTAGAAATTCGCTGGCTCCCCCTCCTCTTTACCTTGTTTGTTAATGTGCAGTACGGAGTACTGAGGCCCACAGAAGCCCCCTTTCCAGAGAGTCTTAAATAAGGCACCTTAAATTCACGATGCTACTGCATCTCTATAATTAGGACACTCAAGCAGTGACAGGCGCTCTGCGTGACTCCCTTCCCGAGCAGAGCTTGGTTTATGTTTCTCAAGATCCCTTTTATTCCTTCCCTGAGAATATATTAATGCTCCCCCCCCCCCCGAACCTTTTGTGCTTGAAAGCGTTTCACTTCTCGTTCACTCCTTCGCCACTCCAGAGCTCAGATCGTGACAGCTCTGCCAATAAAAGCATAAATGCTCCCCCCCCGCGCGCACCTCCCCTCTCTGTTGTTAAGAAATCGAAGCTGGAAATGCAGTTACCTTGGCAGCGTAAAGAAAAAAAGGGGGAGGGGGTACACGACCTTTTATTCTACATTATTTTTATTTACAGCTGTATGCCTCCATTTTATATTCTCCACATTTTGTTACCAGTTCCCAGCTGCAGCTTTACAAATTATTAAAACCACATCCTTTATTCTAACTATATCTTGAAGCACTCTATGAGGTTCCATAAAACAACTTTCTGATATGAATAAAACGATGGGGAATATGCATAGATGGGAAATGGTTGGAACGGTTTTGTGCAGAGCAGATTCATGAAGAAGATCAGTGGTCCCAGAAAGGCATGTACAGATCTGCACCCAGCTGTGTGATCATTAGGGGAAATTCAGACCTTACAGCTGCCACACTTAAGCATGCAGAGGCTCCCATGAGAGGGTTTGTAACATCTTTTCAGCATAATCTGGTGTGTGTGGGGGGTGTAGAAAAATAGGCTGGTTTCATAGTTAACTAACTCAGAGGTAGAATCTGGATAATACTGTAGAGGTCCCAGCAAATATGATATTTGCTAAAGTAATTTAGTTCAAAAAGTAAATATATCCTACAGATCTTAAGCAAATTTTTGTGCTTCTGCTCATATTTATTAGATTTATGTCTTGCCTTTTTCAAAGATCTCAAAGCAGTTTGCACAATTCTCCTTCTGCCACTCTCAGTCTTATGCCCACAACAACCCTGTGACGGAGGTTGGACTGAGAGTCTGCAACTGGCCCAAAGGCACTCAGTTGGCTCCATGGCTAAGTGGGGACTAGAACCCAGATCACCTGAGTCCCAGCCACACACTCAACCACTACACCACACTGGCTCGCAAATGTCATCTTCCTAAGAAGGTATGTCAAATATGGATATGATGGAACTAAAACAATGGTGGGTCATTGCTTATAAAGCAACGCTATTTATAAGCTTGAAATACAAATGTATTTCTGCAGAAATCAGATGTAAATACAGAGCCACTCAGAAGCTTCATTAATTGATGAAAAAATGTACAATAATATCTCAAAACAGATGAGCTAGGCTGAGAGCAATAAAACTCATTTCAATAAGAGCAAACAAAATGGTACACATGAAAAATATCAACTATACAGGAATGAGAGAAGATGGTTTATGGGGATTCATATGGTTGATATTCATGCACTTGCAGTGGGAGCTGCCTCCCTGTGGGACAATCTTAGGCTGTGCAGGAGTGCAACTATACGAGCAATCTCATATCATGGGTCTTTCTCCTTTTGCCACTTCATTGTGTCCTTGCCTTGTGGAGGGACAGGAAAGCTTGAGATGTGGCATGGGGTGCCACAGTGGAAAGGGAGAATTCTCAACTACCAGGACTTCCTGCGAGGGCTGTCTGCACCCAAGTTCCCCTTCCGACTGCAGTTCCTTTTGCCAAAACCCAGGTTGCTTCTGAGAGTGCTCCAGGCCTCAGGGGAGGCTTCTCAGGAAATTCACGGGGCTGGAGTGTAAATTGCCCATGAAAGCCGCCTTGTATTAGTAGATTAATTCTTGTGCAGTTTAAGATACAGTTCTTAAACAAATACCTGTCTATATTCTCTTCTGTAATGGTACCCCCCAAATAGTATTCTCACTGCCTATCTCAGTGCAGTCTTACTCCAAAGAGGAGTTTCTGCCAGCATTAAGACACAATTCATTTCTGTGCATGTTTTATTCATTTATTGATTTCATTTTTATACTGCCAAATAGCCAAGGCTTTCTGGGCGGTTAACAAAAGTTAATAACACACAAACAACAAAAAATTAAACCACAGCAATTATAACTGAATCAGCACAGAGGTATAGCAGTGGTATGGGGTAAAATGCAATATTAAAACTAAAATTAAAAGATTAACTGCTAAAATACTAGGGAAATAAAAAGGGTTTTACCAGGTGGCAAAAAGAATACAGAGAAGGTGCCAGGAACACTTCTTGGAAAGCTCATTTCATAGCTGGGGTGCCACAGCTGAAAAGGTCCTTCTCCTGATAGCCACCATTAGAGGGGGTTCCTGGAGAAGGACCTCTGAAGATGACTGTAGGGTTTGGTTAGGTACATATGGGACAAAGCATTCCTTCAGATAACCTGGCCCCAAACAGTTTAGAGCTTTGAATACTAGCACTATTTTGCACTGCACTACAGGTGTCACCAATGAATATTTCTTCTTCATTTGCTGAAATGACTGATTAAAGGAACTGGCCTTTTTAAAAAAAAAAGTCTTCTGAATTTGGGGTTAAATCAAGGCTGAAACAGTCCTTCAGAATAAATCCCACAAAACTCAGGAAAACTTATTTCCATATAAGCAAGAATAGTATTGGGCTATCAAAATAAACTTTAATATTCACAGCATGGTCCAGTGGTGAATCTCATGGTTATATAACCTTAACTATGTGCAGATAGTTTGGCATTTATAGTTCTCAAATGCCTGGGTTTTGATTGTGCTTATACACTAGATCTCAGAAAAAAAGCAAAGGACACAGTCCATGACATTTAGCTGCCTGAGGTAGCAAATTCCCCCCATCTCAATAGAAGTGCAGGGTTCCCCAGTCAGCCATGTTATTTTGGTATCTGAGGTTGCCTTGCCCTGTACCCCACAACGGCTTCTTCCTCTAACAAGCAGTAAAAATACAGCAGGAAAATATTTTTAAAAACTAACCCAAATATCTAAAATGAGATGCTTGAGGTGGCCACTTACTCTACCTAGAGGTACAGCCAGCTCTGGCCACTGCAAATTATCTGAGAAAGTGGTAGCAAACGTAACATTTGACACTCTTAACAAACAAGTTGGTAAGAATTAATATATGGATGGGGGGGTGGATATTTCTTTAACAGCACATAGTCACACTATGAGATTAACTTCCAAAGGGTGATGTCCACCAATTTAGAAGGCTTTAGAATGGGACTGGAATAATTCATGGGAGAACAAGGCTATTGATGGCTGCTAGTCTACCTTCAGTATCTGAAGTGATGTGGTGTGTACAATGGTTGCTAGAGAATATGCGTTGGAGAGTGTTGTTGCATTCTTGTTCTGCTTGTGTGTTTTTCACTGGTGCAGCTAGTTGGCCACTGTGTGAACCAAGTGCATGACATAACAATTCTAGGTTTGTGACTCAAATGAAAATTGCTATGAATTTAGTGGAATTTACTTCCTTATAACTATTTAGGATTATGTCTGCCTAAGTGTGTTTTTACAATTTCCCTGTCAAGTTTTTAAAGCAACCACCAACCCAATTAAAACATTTAGTGTTTAAAAGGAAGTAGGATATACTGTGACCATTAAGCCAATTAAAGCCCTTAACATTAAAGCAACCATTTTCTAAGATATTAATTTGGTGCTCTAAGATAGCAAACACTCTTTTTTTTCTTCTCTCTTTCTATTCCTTGATTTACAGAGAGACCTGCAAATGAAATTCAACAATAATTGGGTGGCAAATCACAGATAACTTGCTGCAGTTGTTTATCTGCACAATTCTCATCACTAATGAAGACACTAGAGAAATTTCCTGACAAAGAGCATGTTTTATTATGTGAGAAACTCTGCATGTTCAAGAGAAATAGCATACATTGAGATCCCTTGCAAGTAAAGACACTTTAATAAAGGAGGGTTTAAAGCAAGATTTAATGCATAGGTGCCCACTATGAAATGGGAAAGAGCACTGCTTCATTTAGCTATATACACATCTATATATTCTTTTTATTCAGGCAAGGACACAATCCTATGCATGTTTAGAAAGGAGAAGGTCTTACAGCTTATTAGTTCAACTAAAAGAATGGCCATAGGATATTTTGGGTGGCCACAGGATAATTTGGACACTTGGATCCAAGAGTAGAGATGGAGTTCTGA